GATTGTCCTGGATGATGCTCTCATCCCTTTCTGATCTGGGGCAGCTCTTTCCTTCCTGTCTTGCAACACTCATTTAATTCAACGTTAGGGTTATGCTTTGGTAAATCCTTCCCGTTTTAAATCGCATTCATTGTCTTTTAATAACATCAACGTCGTGGGGTTGACAGCGATTCTCAGAGGGCTTGCGCCGGGCTGCAGCCTTTCGCAGCCTGTCGTCATCGGGGCATGGCACAGATCCCACAACACATTGAATTAAACGAGCAGGAAGAACCCCTGCCATATAAAGAAAGCCAAGGACATTAAATGGTCCAAACCCACAGCTCCAAATCAGCTAACAACCCACCAGCCACGCTGAGCCTGAAAAGGCCAATCCTTATGGCCAGGGTAAAAGGAGCCCTTAGCAAAGCCTTGCAGCCATCGCTGTAGCACCTCCTGCCCTGCACCCCCGAGCGTTTCTGGTTCGTGTGCCTGGGAGGAGAACGTGTTTGGCAAAGCTGGCCGGCGCTGTGTGACCGTGGGGGGGGCGCGAGCTGTCCCGTGGCTCCATGCTCCAGGTGCTGGCTCCGGCAGCTGCCACTGATGCCACTTCAGGGGAACCCGTGGGCATCAGGTGAACCCGTGGGCATGGTTTGCTCCCTCCCAACCCCCAGCACCCCCAGTTGTTGTGTGAGAGGGGACATCCCCGCATCCGTCGCCGGGGGGAATGCCTATGGAGGTCTCTGACCCTGAACCGAGCCCTTGGCCTCTTCAGCTGCTCCATCCCTGGCGTGGTTCGCATTTGCCTCTGCCCCTTCAGCATCTTCCTTCCCTCCTCCAGGGCTTTTATATCCAGGGAGATGTGAGACTAGGTCAAACTTTTGAGCAGGAGTGACGCCACGCCGGAGGGAAGACCTCCACCACCAAGCCCTGCTGCCATCCTGCCCAGACCGCTGCGGGAAGGGACCCAGCTCCTCCTGACGCCCTTGGCTGGCAAAACCGGGTCCTGGCATGGGGTGGCCGTAGCGTGTCCCTGCCCATCCCTGCCTGCTGGCAGCAGGGAAAGGGACGGATGTTTCCAACCCCGGTCAGTCCCTTGGCTGGGTCCAACCTGCAGCTTCCCTGGTCCAAGGCTCGGCGAGGAGGAGGAAAAGGGGGAAGAGGAAGAGGGGGTTGGGTGCTTCTCATTCCAAACCACTCTCCCTCCCAGGGCTGATGCTGTGGGTGTCAGTATGGGTGCCCAGCTGTAGGACCTCCTTCACAAGTCATGGATTTGGACGTTTTTGGGCTTGGATGGGGAGGTTTGAATAAAAGAGCAGGGAGCAGGGGCTGGGGCAGCCCTTCCAGGAGCTGCTCCAGGCTCCAAGCACTAAAGATGAGCAGTGGGGCAGCACCCAGCGCAGGGCTCAGGAGATGTCTCCTCAGCAGACCATCCTGCAAGGAGTTTGGATACCGAAGGCAAGGTCTAAGCCTGCACCAGCTGCCCCAGCAGCCTGGATACTGGTCATGGGGTCGGGATCTGCACGTGATAGGGAGCAGCACATCCCGCCTGTGGTGGGATGCCAAATCTTGCTTCTCTGCGCTGTCATCTTGTGATCACTTTGCACCTCACCTGCTGACCTTCAGCCAGACCACTGCTGTCTCCTCTTCCGCCAAATTATATTCCTGAGCACCCCCAGCTCAAACCAAGGAGCTCAGCATGTGCCCACAGTTCTCGCCTGTGTGACACGAGATCGTCAGGGCTCAGCGGCACCTCAGGCACGGAGTTCTTGGGTTGGAAAGGAGTTGTGTTGCATGAAGATTCCCAAGGCATCCCAGCCTGGATGCAGCCCTGGTCTCCCAGTGGCCTCTGTGCAAGAGGGATCTTTTGCCGTTTTGGGGGCTGGTTTGATTCCCAGGGGACCTGGGCAGGTGACACGACATGACCCTAGACCATGTCCTCCCTCCACCTCTTCCCAGTATCTTCCACCGCAGCCCATCTCTGGCAGGGATTAAGGCTTATTTCTGCCCTACCTTCCTATATCCCATTAGGGGCATTAAAACAGAAGCCAGCAGCCCCGAGGACCTTCCATGTGACTCCAGGAGCTTTCTTAAGTTGAGACCACATTAAGCTTCCCGGAATCGGTCCCTGCTTAGGGGCGGAAATCCCCCCTCACCGGGCAGAGGCCTGGGCTTTATGCAACGTTATTTGCCTAGAGCTGGGTTGGATTTGCTGCCTGTGGGCCCAGGAGGACATGGCAGCACTCGGCATGGCGTAGGCATTGGTGACTTAGACCTTGTTTCCAAGGGAGCCCGGGGATGCAGGGAGACAGGGGACGACTCAGTGAGGTCCCCGTGACAGGATGCTGCACCCAGGAGTGCACAGGAGTGCCCCTGTGACAACCACCCAGGGGTTTTAGTCCCCTGCAGGGTCCCAGCAGCTTTTCTGTCTGTGCCAGCATCCAAGTCCTGACTTTCTGCGTGGCTTTTCGGTGCTGCAGGGTGAGCAGATGGGGTGAAATCCTGCCCACGTCCTGGGCACCCCGTCCCCAGCATCCGTGGAGATGTTTAGCTGCAGGAAGGAGACAGGCAGGATCCGGCCTGGTCCTGAAGGCTCTTTATTGCCTGGTTCTGCAGTGCCTGAGGCAGCCGGAGCTGCTGGGGCTGCTGGGAAGGCAGCTGTGATCCAGCGCTGCAGGGCTCCTGCCTCACTGGATGTGCACAGAGACCCCATGGGTGTGCGCAGCATGTGAGTGCACGTGTGCATCCACGTCTGCGCCTCTGCGTGCATGCGTGTGTGCTTCTGCACGCATGCGTGGTTGCGTGTGTGCATGCCTGTGCACACTCATGTGCTCACACCATCACGCACGCCTGGTGTGTGAGCCTCGGCTCACCCCAGCACCTCTTCCCAGCCTGTCTCCAGGGTGACACGGTCAGTGCTCCGGCACCAGCATGGATGCTGCACTCCCCCTGCCCGTGTGCCGGTGCCCGGGCTTAGGGCTGCCAGGCTGAGGGCTCCCACCCAGCAAGCTCATGTTGCCAGATGAGGGACGTGAACTTGGATGTGTGGTGTGAGATATGAAACGCTGTGACCGAGAGGTGACCCAGAGCCAACGGGAGCTGGCAGCAGCCCTTGCACTGACATAGGGGTGCACACGTGTGCCTACGTGCACACAGGGCACACAGCATGCACATACATGGAGTGCCGTGCATGCACACACATGCTGCTGTGCAACATGCATGAACACATGTGCCAGAGGATGCCATGAATGCATATAAATCTGCCATTGGACACCATACATGCACACGTATGTGCCAGGAAATGCTATGCATGCACACACGTGTGACACCTTGCAGCGTGCATGGAGACTCATGTGCCTGGGGTTGCCATGCATGTATATGCATCATGCACACACGTGTGCCACAGTGCACCATGCTTGCACACACATGTGCCAGAGGGCACCATACATGCACATCCCGGAGTTCAGCTCCTGCTACATGTGTGCATACACCCACACACAACGGCCCAGCCTGAGGTAACACATGCACATACGTGTGCCGATGCACACACAAGTAGATGCACCCCCAAAGTGCCATAGAAGGTGCCCGCATCCCCATGCAGGGGACATCACGCCTCTGCCACGTCTCTGCAGCAGCACAGCCACAGCTCCCAGGCCCTCATCACACACCCAAGCCTCGCTCTGTGCCTCAGTTTCCCCACCTGTGAAGGGCCTGGGTCCTGCCCCGCACAGGACAGCTGCCCTGTGACTAATCACCTGCCCAGTTAATCATTCATTTCTCCTCCTTGCACACAGCCGGGGTCACTCGTCCTGCTCAGCACGGTGCCTGCACCCAAGGACTCAGGGACCTTGTCTTGTCCTCCACCAGAGAACAGTTCCCGGGGGACACTGGTGAGTCCATCCCCACCGCAGTGGGACGAGCTCTTTCCCAGCGCCACCAGCTTGGTGACCCTAGTCCCAGTATCACCACCCTGGAGGGGCTGGGAATGCCTGGCGGATGGCTTGGGGGTCCCTGTGCCCCATGAGCAGGTGGAGGGGGTTTGGAGAGGGTGGAGGCCACCTCTGTCCTTGCAAGGTCCTGTGCCACCCCTTGCCTGCCCCTGCAAAACCCTTCTGCGGAAGGCCAGAGTATTTACCAGTGCTGAGCAAACATCCCGGCAAGGTCCTGGCAGCGACATGCACCAGGGTCAGGATCTGCAGGGGGCCTGGTGCTGGGGGCTTCCTGGGAGAGCCCCCGCCCGCCCCAGAGCACCCCAGCATCGCTGCTGTCAGCCCTGGCTCAGCAAGAGCTGCTCTCCCAGGGACACAGTGGGGTCCCCCTGTTGAGGACAATGTGCTCTTGACCCCTGGCAGCCAGTGCCACGTCTCAGCTGGGTGTCACCTCCATGTCCTCATCCCTGCCCTCCGCAGCCGGCTTGGTGCAGCCACCCAGGGAGGAGGGTGCTGGGTGCTATGGATGCCCTCAGTGGGGACACAGTCCTGGGCATGCTCCCTGCTCCCCCCCTTAGCACCAGCCCCATCGCTGACCCCTGCTCTGCCTCTCCCCAGGTCGGAGCCAGAGGGGACCCAGCCAGGAGTCCCCATCTCCTGTGGGGTCCCTCACTGTCTGGGAGGCGTCGGGAGGAGAAACCACCAGACCGGGGAGCGGAGCGAGACCCTGGGCACCACGAAGAGGCAGCATCAGTCCAGGCTGGAGGGTGCCCGGTAAGGCTGCTGGGGTTGGGGGTGCTGGTGGGACCCCAGAGGACCCTCCATTTCCCCACGATCTGGTGACCAGCGGAGATCACAGCACCCAAAGCTGCCAACCCTGGGGATGGGGGACCCCCACAGCAGGGTGGCCCCTGCCTTCGCTCCTGGTGAGCCTGCAGTCGGGCTGGGCAGAGCGGGGTGTAGGGGCTTAGCCCTGCTCCGTGGAATCTGCAGGCAGGGGATGCTGCCTGCTTGGAACTAGAGCATCTGGGACCCCTGTGCCCTCCACGCTCAGAGGGGCTGACGGGGAGGGGGCCATGTCTCCCCAGGGTTAGCATGACTGAGGTGGAACCCGTGCTGGACTTCGCATCCTCCGGGAGAACGGGCCGGCGCAATGCCCTGCCCGACATCCTGGGCTCACCGGCCGGCGTCAGCCCCCCCGACCCGCACAAGCTGGCCGAGATGTCCCTAAACGCAGGTGGGTGACGGAGAAGGTGGGAGCCGAGGCAGGGCAAGCAGGAATCAGGGTCACTCACAGCCTCATCTCTCCCCGCAGGAAGCGCGCAGGAGATGCAGTCGCCCTCGGCGGAGGTGCCCCCTCCGCAGCCCCCCAGCCCCGATCTGAAGGACACATCCTAACCCCGTTCCCAGAGGGGACATTGCTGACCAGCGGAGGAAAGAGGAGGCTGTGGAGCATCAGCCCAGCTTTCCTGGCATGGCCGGAGTCCGCTGGGTTGTCTTCGGTGCTACCGTGGCAAGACCATTGGGCGTCATCTCCCACTGCCATGAGGGGAGCATCGCACTGCCGGGACCTGCCGTGACAAAAGGGCGATTCCCACCCACGCCCTGGGTGAGGACCCAGTGGGGAGGGGATTTTTTTTGCCTCCCTGAAGGGGAGGAATATTTTTCTCCTGGGGTACCTGGCGGAGCCGAGCGCAGGAGGTTCACCAGGGGAGGTTTCTCCTCGTCGCAGGAGCAGCCCGTGGGTGTTTCTGGCTGATGTGATGTTCACTGTGATGTTTTGGGTACCACCTCCGCCTCCTGGCCTTTCTTCCGGGGTGATGCTGGAGCCTTTTTCAAGAAGGTTGGGATGGGAAAGTACCGCAAACCCCAACAGCCCCCCAAGTCCCTCCCTGGCAGCCAGCATCTTCCTCAGGGGTTCTGCCTTGGACTGGAGCACCCCAGAGTGGTCCCTGTCCCAGCGTGTGGGGGTCTCAACTCCTGGGAACAGAAGGATGCTGGTGATTTCAGCAGGGGTGAGCAGGGGGATGCTATTTTGGGCATCCTCAGCCCTGGACATCACCCCATGCCAGGGCCACCCATGGGTCCCCATGCCTGGGATCATAGAATCACAGA